TAACATACTAGCTCCCAGAGACTGGATCACAGCAGCAGTACCCTTTTTGATTCTCTACATATCCAAGGAATACACACTTCTTTGCCTTGGGATCAAGCTTCAAGCGGTGAGGACCAAGGATATGTGCAAAGCAGACACACCCAAACACCTTGAGAGGAATATGAAGCATCTCCCTCTGAGGAAAAAGAAGACTGAATGGGGTGCTGAATCCAAGTATACGAGAGGGCACCCTGTTAATCAGATATACTGTTGTGAGAACTGCATCACCCCAAAACTGAACTGGAACTATAGATGTGATCATCATGCTTCTTGCAATCTCAACAATGTATCTGTTCTTCCTTTCTGCAACACCATTCTGCTGTGGACTGTAGGAGCAACTGCTCTGATGGACAACACCATATTCTAACAGATATGAGGCAAGATGTCTTTCAAAATATTCTCTGGCATTGTTAGATCTGAACACCTTTATTCTTGTTCCAAACTGTGTTAGTACCATCTGATGAAATTGCCTCACCAAGGATGGTACCTCATCGCGGGATCTCATCAAGTAAATCCAAGAGTATCGTAAGAAATCATCCACAAATAAGAGAAAATAGCGATAGCCTCCCATAGAAGGAACATGGTAAGGGCCCCACACATCCGAATGAATAACATCAAAAGAAGAATAACATATTTTATTACTAGGTTTAAATGAATGTCTACAATGCTTTCCAAGTTGACAACCTTCACACTCCAGACTTGACAAACTAACAGACTCAAAAAGTTTTGGAAACAAAAAACTCAAAGAAAAAAACAGTAAATGACCCAAACGATTATGCCAAAGCATAATTTGACTCACAGACCCTGACTCACTATCCCTGCTGACATGATGACTCTAATGAGAAGGAAGTACATCTAGGAGGTAGATTCCATTCACTTCACGACCACTCCCAATCATCCTCTTTGAATCCAGATCCTGCAAAATACAACAACCAGGAAAAAAAATTACTGGAAAGTTCAGGTTCTTAGTCAAACTACTAACAGATAACAAATTAGTGTTCAATCTATGAACATGAAGGACAGAGGGTAGAGAAATAGAATCACTAATCTTAACAGATCCCTTCCCAGCAATAGGAACATGGGATCCATCAGCTGTGGAGACCCTATCTCTGCTAGAACAGAGCTGGTAAGTTGAAAAAATAATAGAGCTTTAGGTCATGTGCTCTGAGGCTCCAGAATCTATAATCCAAGGAGGTCCCTCCTTACCTGAAGTGGAAACATAATTTGCAGTGACGTGTGAACTACCTGTGTGAGCAAAGGAAGTAGGGTGGACTCCACCAGTGCCACCTGTACCTTGTTGTCCGCTTGCGGCTGAACTGGAACTGGTTGTA